CAGTCAGGGCAATCTTGTTAATCGTGGGCTGATCGTGGTGATTCTATCAGATCTTATCAGATCTTGAGGTTAGTCATGGCAATCGTGTTATTCGTGGACTGATCGTGGTGATCCTATAGGATCTTATCAGATCTTGAGGTTAGTCATGGCAATCGTGTTAATTGTGGACTGATCGTGGTGATCCTATCAGATCTTATCAGATCTTGAGGTTAGTCGTGGCAATCGTGTTAATTGTGGACTAATCGTGGTGATCCTATCAGATCTTATCAGATCTTGAGGTTAGTCGTGGCAATCGTGTTAATTGTGGACTAATCGTGGTGATCCTATCAGATCTTATCAGATCTTGAGGTCAGTCATGGCAATCTTGTTAATCGTGGGCTGATCGTGGTGATTCTATCAGATCTTATCAGATCTTGAGGTTAGTCATGGCAATCGTGTTATTCGTGGACTGATCGTGGTGATCCTATAGGATCTTATCAGATCTTGAGGTTAGTCATGGCAATCGTGTTAATTGTGGACTTATCGTGGTGATCCTATCAGATCTTATCAGATCCTGAGGTCAGTCCTGGCAATCGTGTTAATTGTGGACTGATCGTGGTGATCCTATCAGATCTTATCAGATCTTGAGGTCAGTCAGGGCAATCTTGTTAATCGTGGGCTGATCGTGGTGATTCTATCAGATCTTATCAGATCTTGAGGTTAGTCATGGCAATCGTGTTAATTGTGGACTGATCGTGGTGATCCTATCAGATCTTATCAGATCCTGAGGTTAGTCATGGCAATCGTGTTAATTGTGGACTGATCGTGGTGATCCTATCAGATCTTATCAGATCCTGAGGTCAGTCCTGGCAATCGTGTTAATTGCGGACTGATCGTGATGATCCTATCAGATCTTATCAGATCCTGAGGTCAGTCCTGGCAATCGTGTTAATTGCGGACTGATCGTGATGATCCTATCAGATCTTATCAGATCCTGAGGTCAGTCCTGGCAATCGTGTTAATTGCGGACTGATCGTGATGATCCTATCAGATCTTATCAGATCCTGAGGTCAGTCCTGGCAATCGTGTTAATTGTGGACTGATCGTGGTGATCCTATCAGATCTTATCAGATCCTGAGGTCAGTCCTGGCAATCGTGTTAATTGTGGACTGATCGTGGTGATCCTATCAGATCTTATCAGATCCTGAGGTCAGTCCTGGCAATCGTGTTAATTGCGGACTGATCGTGATGATCCTATCAGATCTTATCAGATCTTGAGGTTAGTCGTGGCAATCGTGTTAATCGTAGACACTGTTTGAACGGTTCAAAATTTGACTACGATCAACACGATCAATTGTCAATCGGGATCATCGTATCAGATCGTACCGCAATTAAGGTTTGGTGTCAATCATATATTGTTGTACATTTTAGACCATGCTTGTATGTATGTATTTTAAGCAAAATTGACATGTGACACTTTAATGAAATAATTTGTATTGTATTGTATTGTATTGTATTAATCGTGGTGATCGGGATCGTTCTTAGGCAAGACAAACACCACGCTCTGTTGAGATGTGTTACGATCTTCAACGATCTGTTACGATCTGTTACGATCTGTTACGTTCTTCAACGATCTGTTACGATCTGTCGGGTCCCATTGCTCAAGACCTGACACGAATGAACAGATAGGACTTGATACCAGAAGGTGAGAGTACATGCGAGTAGATACGAGTAGTTACGTTTTTACACGAACGCTTACAATCGGTTATGAGTTATCGTGCCCATATATATACTGGACAAGATTTAATGCGTCTCACTCAGCGATCTACTCATGAAGGGAGCACATCGTAGTGACCTGCCTTTGCTGGTAATGTTTCAAGCCTTTGTTCACTTCCTCCCCATAGAACATTATGTTATGACAACAAAACATAAAAGAAATAGAACATAAAAAATAAAATAAAACGAAAGTCGTTCACTTACATGTCTGCATGAATATTTATTTTATGTAACACTGAATTGTGTATGTCATTTGATATTTGACATGTCACCTTTATATAACCCTTTACTCCTTAGATACTCGCGTGGACTCGATCGAACCAATCGTATCGGAAAGTATGCGATCTTATCTGAAAGGGAGATCAGACCGTGACATATCGCGACACCTGGAATTGACAAATCGTGACCAGATCGCATCCTAGCAAAAAAATCGTATCAAAACGAATCGACTCGCATCACCTCGTATGCAAACCTGAAATTTCATAGAAATTCAACGATCAGCTACGAATGGCCAATCGTCGCGTTCGTAACGGATCGCACGACGGTGGGAACCTTGGAACAGAAGATTTTCTCAAGAAGCCTTGTGTCTTAGTTTACCCTACGCGTAGTAAATAAAGATCTACTTTGATGAAACAGCAGTATGGAGCAGTGTAATTAGTTTTCGGCATACTGTAAATATTTTACTAAATTTTAAGGGTGTGCAGCTACCTCTGTGTGTCTCTCAAGAAACAAGGTGATAGACTCTCCCGGTGGATATCCAAGTCCCCGATATTTGCCGTAACATCGATAGCCACATCAATCTCTTTTACGTAATGGCACTGTTCACAATATGCATAATTTACATATTTTTTGGAATTGACATGTACTTTTCTAATTTTCGAAATTCATAAAGTTAAGGTGTTCTGAACCATTATTTACCTGATATCCATGATAATCCCAGGATCCTAGTTTGAGTTACACATCTGATCGTCAAATCGGAAAAACTTTATATCAATTTTACAGGAACTTCTAAATCGGACGACAGGACCCCAAAATATCCGGCTATCGAGGCTCGGCAAGTACCCGGATGTATCATCGACACTGAAAAAGAATAATTAGTGGACTATTAATCCAGAAAAATGTTACATAAAATTGCAGTTTTGGTTAATTTTTACGTTAACGTAAGTTAAATAAAAAATATTTATACCAAAGGATAAAATGAAAATAAGAACGGAAGCTGAGCTTGCTCGTTTTCTTTTAACGCTGCACTTGTGTTTACGATTTCGTTTGATACTTCTGTAAATATATAAAACATATGCATCAATTAATATTGTTCTCGGTCATTATCATAATATAGTATATAATGTAAAATGTTACTTCGTTAATAAGCATGCCACTGCTTGGACAAACAAATTCACTGACGAAAAAAGAGACTTTTAACACTGATGTGCGCATGACAATCACCTGTAACACGGAATTCGTATACTGGTCAGACCTCCATAGTTACGTAGGTCCCAGCTCAGCTTCTCATCATACCATTCCTGGAACGAAAAGGTGTATGACGTCATATACGGACTTATCTAATTCCGTGGTCATAGCGTCTTTTTTTCATACATTTTAATCATCCATTCCATTAAAACATATGACACAAAATATTGAAAAATAACATCCGAACTGTATTACTTTGTGTCGCATTTCTCTTGACAGTCTGTCCATATAACTGTGGCAGTATAAAGTCCACATGTACAATGCAATACCCTGATTGTTTTATCAAGTTAACGGAGTACTTATAACGCTCTCATAGACATAGCATTCTGTATGCTATCAAGTCTGTAATGGTGGAGTTCCGAACGTCTTTTGTGCTAAAAGGGTATCCGAAAGGTCCATTATTAACACAAGTTTAAAGTCTATTGTATAGAACATATTTATATAAAGACAAATCTTCGGAATGTACATTTAAGTATGTTTGAAGAAGTTGGCGTAAATTCGTTAGAGAAGCAAATCGATGGCAGATTGAGCATACGTTAAGAGTGTCACACTTCTTCAAAGCTAAATATATTAAATAAAAACGTTTATTTATTTTACAACAATTATGAAACAATTTATTAAACTTAAATAAATCACTCTTGTTTGTGCAGGTGTTAGTGTAAGATGGAGTGTTTTCAGCTGAAATGGTTGGGAGACTTTTTTTTTAAAAATACTAGTTTAAAAGTAGTTCTACAAGAGTAAATATGGTATTTTGGTAAGTACGGTGAGACCACGAGGTCTATGGACCCTCTTCCTCTTCAATGACATACTTTCGTAGGGTTTCATCTCTTCTCGTAAATATCGCATATGCAAGTGAATAAAATCAGTCATAGTAAAACATGAAGACTAATTTGATAAACTTTAAAACAAGTTAGAATTATAAGACTATCCAATAGTAAAAAAATACATGACTTTATGTGTTACAAACCATGTTACAAACATCATCATTTATCTTTAATATGGAAACATAGGAAATATTTTGTTTGACTTTAGCATATTGTGAGAGGAAAATCAGTCCCTTTTCTATACTGTTTTCCTACAATTTTTACAGATCATGGATTAGGTACGCTTGTATATAATTTCATAATTATAAGTAACTCTTGCCTTCAGCGGAGGATGTTGAGAATGCATCATTTTCATCAAATCCTGCATTCCTGACTGTTAAAAAAAAGATAAAACCCACATCATACACTTCCCAGCAGCAGTTTTGTTTGTTAATGTCTGAGGTAATGTTGTCAATGATAGAATAGTTTAGGATTAAGTTGGTTAAGATGCTAAATTCTATTCATTGCCAGGTGGTTGAATTTATAAGCATTAACACTTTTTCAGTTGAGTCATAGTGTTATAGATATATGGATTCTTAGTAGCAGCCTATTATGAGGCTAGTAGTGAGCATCCTTACACAGACCGGCTTCCGCTGGAAGGCCTGTTAACTGGCCTGTCCTCCTGCATTTGATAATGAGAACCAGGATGATGATATATAAAACTACTCCAACTGAAACTAAAAAAAAATGAAAAAGTTGATGATTCTATTTTTTGTATAAGGTAATCAGGCTTCATTTTCTATAAAATTAGCACCAAGCTTGATTTTTCTACATTTCTAGTAAATAATTCAACTATTGAATTAGAGCTTTGAATACACATGTACAAGATAATATGTATCATACGGAAAAAATCAGGTATACATGTGTATTATCACCTGAAATAATTACTGTCAATACGCTGGTGGTGATGATGACATGAGTGACAGTGAGGGTAGTTGTAACGTAACCATCTGTGGTGGTGGAAGGGTCGGACTCAGTGGTAACGTAACCATCTGTGGTGGCGGTAGTGGCGGACTCAGTGGTAATGTAACCATCTGTGGTGGTGGTAATGGCGGACTCCTTGGTAGCGTAACCATCTGTGGTGGTGGTAGTGTCGGACTCAGTGGTAACGTAACCATATGTGGTGGTAGTGACGGACTCAGTGGTAACGTAACCATCTGTGGTGGTGGTAGGGTCGGCCTCAGGGGTAATGTAACCATCTGTGATGGTGGTAGTGTCGGACCCAGTGGTAACGTAACTGTCGGTGGTGGTAATGACGGACTCAGTGGTAACGTAACCATCTGCGGTGGTGGTAGTGTCGGACTCAGTGGTAACGTAACCATATGTGGTGGTAGTGACGGACTCAGTGGTAACGTAACCATCTGTGGTGGTGGTTGTGGCGGACTCAGTGATAACCTAACCATCTGTGATGGTGGTAGGGGCGGAGTCAGTGGTAACGTAACCATCTGTGGTGGTAGTGGCGGAGGCAGTGTTAACGTAACCATCTGTGGTGGTAGTGGCGGAGTCAGTGGTAACGTAACCAACTGTGGTGGTGGTAGTGACGGAGACAGTGTTAGCGTAACCAACTGTGGTGGTGGTAGGGTCGGAGTCAGTGGTAACGTAACCATATGTGGTTGTGGTAGTTGCGGAGTCAGTGGTAGCGTAACCAACTGTGGTGGTGGTAGTGACGGAGTCAGCGGTAACGTAACCAACTGTGGTGGTGGTAGTGACGGAGTCAGCGGTAACGTAACCAACTGTGGTGGTGGTAGTGACGGAGACAGTGTTAGCGTAACCAACTGTGGTGGTGGTAGGGTCGGAGTCAGTGGTAACGTTACCATATGTGGTTGTGGTAGTTGCGGAGTCAGTGGTAGCGTAACCAACTGTGGTGGTGGTAGTGACGGAGTCAGTGGTAACGTAACCAACTGTGGTGGTGGTAGTGACGGAGTCAGTGGTAACGTAACCATCTGTGGTGGTAGTGGCGGAGGCAGTGTTAACGTAACCATCTGTGGTGGTAGTGGCGGAGGCAGTGTTAACGTAACCATCTGTGGTGGTAGTGGCGGAGTCAGTGTTAACGTAACCATCTGTGGTGGTGGTTGTGGCGGACTCAGTGATAACCTAACCATCTGTGATGGTGGTAGTGGCGGAGTCAGTGGTAACGTAACCATCTGTTGTGCTGGTAATGGCGGACTCCTTGGTAGCGTAACCAACTGTGGTGGTAGTGTCGGACTCAGTGGTAACGTAAACGTGTGTGTTGGTGGTAGTGGCGGAGTCAGTGGTAACGTAACCAACTGTGGTGGTGGTAGTGACGGAGTCAGTGGTAACGTAACCATCGTAACCATCTGTGGTGGTGATAGTGACGGACTCATTGATAACGTAACCATCTGTGGCGGTAGTAACGGAGTCAGTGGTAACGTAACCATATGTGGTGGTAGTGACGGACTCAGTGGTAACGTAACCATATGTGTGACGCTGGGAATGGCGGACTCCTTGGTAGCGTAACCAACTGTGGTGGTAGTGTCGGACTCAGTGGTAACGTAACCATCTGTGGTGGTGGTAGTGGCGGACCCAGTGGTAACGTAACTGTCTGTGGTGGTAATGGCGGACTCAGTGGTAACGTAACCATCTGTGGTGGTAGTGACGGAGTCAGTGGTAACGTAACCATCGTAACCATCTGTGGTGGTGGTAGTGACGGACTCAGTGGTAACGTAACCATATGTGTGACGCTGGGAATGGCGGACTCCTTGGTAGCGTAACCAACTGTGGTGGCGGTAGTGACGGACTCAGTGGTAACGTAACCATATGTGTGACGCTGGGAATGGCGGACTCCTTGGTAGCGTAACCAACTGTGGTGGTGGTAGTGTCGGACTCAGTGGTAACGTAAACGTGTGTGTTGGTGGTAGTGGCGGAGTCAGTGGTAACGTAACCATCTGTGGTGGTGGTTGTGGCGGACTCAGTGATAACCTAACCATCTGTGATGGTGGTAGTGGCGGAGTCAGTGGTAACGTAACCATCTGTTGTGCTGGTAATGGCGGACTCCTTGGTAGCGTAACCAACTATGGTGGTGGTAGTGACGGAGTCAATGGTAACGTTAGTGGTGGTGGTTGTGGCGGAGTCAGTGGTAACCTAACCATCTGTGATGGTGGTAGTGGCGGAGTCAGCGGTAACGTAACCAGCTGTGGTGGTGGTAGGGTCGGACTCAGTGGTAACGTAAACGTGTGTGTTGGCGGTAGTGGCGGAGTCAGTGGGAACGTAACCAACTGTGGTGGGGGTAGTGACGGAGACAGTGTTAGCGTAACCAACTGTGGTGGTGGTAGGGTCGGAGTCAGTGGTAACGTAACCATATGTGGTTGTGGTAGTTGCGGAGTCAGTGGTAGCGTAACCAACTGTGGTGGTGGTAGTGACGGAGTCAGGGGTAACGTAACCATATGTGGTGGTGGTAGTGTCGGACTCAGTGGGAACGTAACCATATGTGGTGGTGGTAGGGTCGGAGTCAGTGGTAACGTTACCATATGTGGTTGTGGTAGTGGCGGAGTCAGTGTTAACATAACCAACTGTGATGGTGGTAGTGGCGGAGTCAATGGTAACGTAACAATCTTTGGTGGTAGTGGCGGAGTCAGTGCTAACGTAACCATCTGTGGTGGCAGTGGCGGAGTCAGTGTTAACATAACCATCTGTGGTGGTAGTGGCGGAGTCAGTGTTAACGTAACCAACTGTGATGGTGGTAGTGACGGAGTCAATGGTAACGTAACCATCTTTGGTGGTAGTGGCGGAGTCAGTGGTAACGTAACCATCTGTTGTGCTGGTAATGGCGGACTCCTTGGTAGCGTAACCAACTGTGGTGGTGGTAGTGACGGAGTCAGGGTAACGTAACCAACTGTGGTGGTGGTAGTGACGGAGTCAGGGTAACGTAACCAACTGTGGTGGTGGTAGTGACGGAGACAGCGGTAACGTAACCCACTGTGGTGGTGGTAGTGACGGAGTCAGTGGTAACGTAACCAACTGTGGTGGTGGTGGTGGCGGAGACAGTGTTAGCGTAACCAACTGTGGTGGTGGTGGGGTCGGAGTCAGTGGTAAAGTAACCATATGTGGTTGTGGTAGTTGCGAAGTCAGGGGTAGCGTAACCAACTGTGGTGGTGGTAGTGGCGGAGTCAGTGGTAACGTAACCAACTGTGGTGGTAGTGACGGAGTCAGTGGTAACTTAACCATCTGTGGTGGTGGTAGTGGCGGAGTCAGTGGTAACGTAACCATTTGTGGTGGTAGTGGCGGAGTCAGTGGTAACGTAACACTCTGTGTGGTGGTAGTGGCGGAGGCAGTGTTAACGTAACCAACTGTGATGGTGGTAGTGACGGAGGCAATGGTAACGTAACCATCTTTGGTGGTAGTGGCGGAGTCAGTGGTAACGTAACACTCTGTGTGGGGGTAGTGGCGGAGTCAGTGTTAACGTAACCAACTGTGGTGGTGGTAGTGACGGACTCAGTGGTAACGTAACCATCTGTGTGATGCTGGTAATGGCGGACTCCTTGGTAACGTAACCAACTGTGGTGGCGGTAGTGACGTACTCAGTGGTAACGTAACCATCTGTGGTGGTGGTAGGGTCGGCCTCAGTGGTAATGTAACCAACGGTGGTGGGGGTAATGGCGGACTCCTTGGTAGCGTAACCAATTGTGGTGGCGGTAGTGATGGACTAAGTGGGAACGTAACCATCTGTGGTGGTAGTGACGGAGTCAGTGGTAACGTAACCAACTGTGGTGGGGGTAGTGACGGAGACAGTGTTAGCGTAACCAACTGTGGTGGTGGTGGGGTCGGAGTCAGTGGTAACGTAACCATATGTGGTTGTGGTAGTTGCGAAGTCAGTGGTAGCGTAACCAACTGTGGTGGTGGTAGTGACGGAGTCAGTGGTAACGTAACCATCTGTGGTGGTGGTAGTGGCGGAGTCAGTGGTAACGTAACACTCTGTGGGGTGGTAGTGGCGGAGGCAGGGTTAACGTAACCATCTGTGGTGGTAGTGGCGGAGGCATTGGTAACGTAACCAACTGTGATGGTGGTAGTGACGGAGTCAATGGTCACGTTACCATCTTTGGTGGTAGTGGCGGAGTCAGTGGTAACGTAACACTCTGTGTGGTGGTAGTGGCGGAGTCAGTGTTAACGTAACCATCTGTGGTGGTAGTGGCGGAGTCATTGTTAACGTAACCAACTGTGATGGTGGTAGTGACGGAGTCAATGGTAACGTTACCATCTTTGGTGGTAGTGGCGGAGTCAGTGGTAACGTAACCATCTGTGGTGGTAGTGGCGGAGTCAGTGGTAACGTAACCAACTGTGGGGGTAGTGACGGAGTCAGTGGTAACGTAACCATCTGTGGTGGTGGTAGTGGCGGAGTCAATGGTAACGTAACCATCTGTGGTGGTAGTGGCGGAGTCTGTGTTAACGTAACCATCTGTGGTGGTAGTGGCGGAGTCAGTGGTAACGTAACACTCTGTGTGGTGGTAGTGGCGGAGTCAGTGTTAACGTAACCATCTGTGGTGGTGGTAGTGGCGGACTCAGTGGTAACGTAACCATATGTGGTGGTAGTGACGGTAGTGAATAGTCCATAATATGATTATAAAAAAAAATGCTAGAAGTAAACTTAAGAAACGTTAGATAATAAATAATAATAATTCGAGGTTCTTGTATACCGCTTTATCACAAGATAGGTCGTAGGCAGTTTCAAAGCTGTACACACATTATAATCCGTTGTTATAGGGCCTTTGCAATCAGCCAAAATCTTTCTGGATCCCATTAGGGAGCGTACGGCCGGGTGCTGCGATTAAGTCGTTCACAGCTAGCATTCAAAAATTCCGGCACTGCCCAACCACGTATTTTTTTTACAGCTTAAAACAAGCGGAGTTAAGTATCTTGTTCAACGATACAACACAGTGCCGTGACGTGACTCGAACCTGGGACACTGTAAGCTATGAATGAGCCTAAACCAGACATCACTTAGTGTTGATCGTTGACCTAAACAGAAGGAGTACTTTATTTTCCATACAGTTACCACACAAATGATAGGCTATTTACGTAAAGTCATAATTTTTGTATTCTTCAATTAACAATATATGAACATCTCGCTTCACTCCGCTACTTGAAAAACCGACACAACTCAAATATTCAATTTGCCGCTAGCTCGCCGTGAGGACGTAGGCGGTGGGCGTTTAATCATACATTAAACAATAAGACATCATATTCATATATACCAGGCAATGGACATTCAGAAAATAAACATCACAAACTTTTCAGTACTCTGCGAAAAATACAGAACCCCTATTGAAAAACGTACATGTCTCAGAGATTCCCCTTCATCGAGATCAAACCGCTCGCTCAGAAAAAACCGGAGATAACCCCCGGAAATCTGCGTCCAGAGGCGGGACAATTATTATTTCCCTGCAGGATATCTCTCAATGGTGACACCCGGAAACCAATGTCATACTCTGTACGTTATTTCCAAACAAAATATTTATAAACAACAAAGACAAGCATGAAAAACACCTAAAATAATAAAAACCCACAAACTCCCCGCATTTACTACATGCGACCTATAAACCTATACATTGGACTGCAAACAACTATAAATATACCCTGTGCTAACATCCCCTTCCAAAGTTTGATGTGATCCGCGCGTCCCGAATAAGCGACTAGAAATGACCCTATACTATAGGCCCCGTGCTCACCTGTCCCGTGGACACGTGACAGCACTCGCCGCTCGTGCTCCAACTAGCAAACGAGTGCCGCACGAGACAAATAATCCCCGCTATTACTCTGAACTGCGGGGATATTTGAGTCTCGCTTCACTCCGCTACTTGAAAACCCGACACAACTCAAATATTCAATTTGCCGCTAGCTCGCCGTGAGGACGTACTAGAAAATTACAAAGAAAGATCCAGCAGGGACACTTAGAGCTACTGTTGCTTCTACAATATCTGACTCTCATAGCCTCTCTCCCGACAAAACAAACCGCAATAAAAATCACAAACGCATGATTACAAACCCAACTTCTGCGTTACCACTAGCCTCTTTTCTAAAGAGTCTTTAACGTACCCGTCCTTGTTCATGTCACTCTTCCAGCGACAATGCCTCTTGAAACATCTGTCATTAACGTTACTGTTAGCCGCTGCTGTGGCCCCACCCGAGCGAAGCGAGTGCAGGCCAACATCGCCTCGGAAACTACCACCTCACTGCCGTAATGATATTGGTCCGTCTTACTTTTTCTAATCCCCAATGTGAAATGCTGATAAAAAAACTTTACATCCGACCCCCGTAAATTGCCAAGTTCACTAAAGCGTAAAAACCCGGCGAAACACAACAACATCATAGTTAAATCTCTACCCACAAATAAATCTACAGATTTAGCATAACTGTCAAATAATTCTATCAGATTGTCAGTTGTCACCGGCTTTTTTTTGCACACGGGCTTCTTGGCAATACGCTTAGAAGCCTCCAAAAGGTTCTGCACGAACGTGCTTGTGGTGGGATCACAATGTCCGTGTAAATTATGCATCCATCTAATGGCATAGACTCCGGTCGAAACCACCGAAATGACGATCCAATGTCCAACATATGGTTCAAATATAGCACCACGTGAATAGGGCTCGCAGGTAAATCAGGAAAACCATGCGAAGTAATAAACGACTGCTATCTCCGGACACTTCCACTGTATTTTTTGTTAGTATTTTCGCTCTTGCTGGACAGCAACCTAACTGCCATGCCCTCTGAACAGCAGTACAAAGATGACCCCACCGTGACCCCTGACGCATTAATAGCTCCTTCAGAGTCCTTTCCAATCCTACGCCTGTTGAAAAGACAGAAAAGGAAAACTCTCCGTATTAATTATACTCTGAAATCGACACACAGTGCTAGCATGTTAAAAGCCAATAGCGGCTTCCCAAACACCCGTTAGTTCCTCTACCCATGTAAGTAACGTGTTGGCTACCCAGTACACGATAATCACTGACAAAGCTAACAAACGTATTCCCAGTTTTACATTTAATTGGCCAAAAAGGAGCCGATTCCATTCTGGAACGATCAAAGTGCCGTGTGATCTTTCCACCTTTATTTTTTGAATGGTCTCGCACACTAACCTTGGAGGCGGCACTAACCAATTATTTACCCCCTCCCACGATACTGTGAAAGCATCTATTGCCTCCGTACCTTCACACCACCATCTAGAATTAAAACGCTTACATTTAGCGTTGTATCCCGAGGCGAACCTGTCAACCTCATGCACACACCCTGCTTTCTCACACTATACAACAACCCAGTATTGAATGCACCAATCGTCACAATCCATACACCTGCTCAGGTGATCAGCAGTACCGTTAGCTGACCTAGGTATCCACTGCGTACTCGAACTTACCCCATTGTCGGAACAGAAACAATGCAACTCGCATGCAATGACCTGCTGCGCGACCTTTCTGCTCCCTATATTCACTATAGAGCATGCCTTTTTATTGTCCATCAACAGTTTGATGTTCTTACCACTCATCTCGTCGGCTACACTGTATACCACCCGTTTTGCTGCCTCTAGTTCTCTCAATCTAGAACTGAATGACCTTTCGGCATCACTCCATGCACCTATTACATGCGACATACCCCCCGATTCCGCTACACTCGGAATACTCACCGTACTACCCCCATGGAGGTAAAGCTATCAACGCCTGACCCTACCCGTTCCTTCAATGGAACCGCCACAGGTACATGTGTACCCGATGCGTCACACCGAGACTCGATGACCTGCATGTAATTCACAAACTCACACGCCTCGTCATGTAAACATGCGCATTGGGTCACAAACCCGCCATACCCAACGCCAGACGCGTCTGTGCAAACTAAGTTTGTACACACCCGGGTGTCCTTCAACCTGGAACCCTTGGCATTTAAATCATGCATATTCAACAACCAGCGCTTTATTTCAGCCAAAGCACTAAGTGTGAGTAACACCCGAGCATTCTAACCTGCTCTCAACATCACACATGCGTACAACTCACGTTTACGTAGTCTGGCCAGACTGCCAACTACACCTTACATCGATATAATCTTACCTATGATTCTAGCCACGTATCGTGCAGTGAACCATACCTGACCTCGCTGATTGACACGGCTCATTGTATGACGTAATAGCCAGAGTAGTCTTTCCAACCGCACCTCGGTAACCCTAATCACGCCTTCTGCCATCGACCACGTGTACCCTAGCCACGTAACGCACTGCGAAGCTTGCCATTGACACTTGTCATCGGCTATCAAAAACCCGTATCCAACCAACACTCGCTGTACATACCTGCTGGCCTCGTTGGTCCCGCCTTCATTGTCATGACCACCGATACCGTCGTCCAAATACATGATCAGCTTGTGCCCTTCTGACTTCTGAGCGCACGTGTTTGACTACCTCACGTAATACTTTTGTAAATACGTACCCTGCTGTGGCTATGCCGAAAGGCAACACGTTGAAAATGTAATATCTTGTTACACCTTGATCTTCCCAACTAGAACCCAAAAAGGTCCGATGACTAGGAAAAATCTCCACATGATGGTAAGCAGACTTGAGGTCAGATGTAAACAAAAACTCACCTTCCGTGAACAGATCACGTGCCGTCCTGGCATCCTCGTACTTAAACTTGAATCTATGCAAATGAGGATTGATATGCCGACAATCCAAAACAAGGCGTGGCTTACCTGCCATCGATGCACGGATGTGTCATTACTTCGGAAACTAAACCCAGCTCTAGAAGCTTTCCTATCTCAGACCAAACAAAAACTGGATCGTTTCGTGCAGATTTGTTATTGCGCAGATAAACGCCAGTCGGGATTACCCGAAACGGGATCTTATACCCATCCGACACAATGGACAATACGGCATCGCATGTACCTTTCTCTCGCCAGAAATCCACTCTCTGCCTCAACCTACCCATCGGCGACTCGCTGGCCTTACCTTTCATGCTAGACAAATTAACATTTAAAACATCAGAATGCTTTACGTCGCCCTTTCGTGACTCATCTGAATTACTCAAAGGCGTACCATCAGGGAGAACATGCTTAAAATGGCAAAATGTATTTATCTTACTGCCGTTCGTGGCTGCCATCCCTCCGGACACCCCGGGACACTCCAACCTCCAGTGACCAGGCTTACCACAACTATAGCATAGACCCGGTCGCTGGGCCCTCCATGCCGGCCCGGACCTGCTGCTGTCCGTCGTATTAGAAGTTATAGTAGCCGTAGGTCCGCCGAATCGTTGATAAGGGGTATTAAATCTGCGACCTCCCCTCGATGATTTAGACTTTGATACCGCCTTCATCTTCCTGTTGGCCTTATTAGTGGACCGGTCCTTCCTTTTTTCGTCCTCAGAATCCTCCGCAATGGGATTAACGATATACTCGTCGACAGACCTCCATCCTGCCTCCGACGTGTCGGCCAGCCTGGACCTGACCTCGTAGCATGCCTAACTTCCATGAATTTAGCTTTAAGCTTCGTGTTGAACCTATA